CTAAACCCCCAAAACCCTAAATCCGACCCCTGAGCCTCTCAGCTTTTCAAGGGTCCTCCAGGAGCCGCCATTGGTCCAACGCCAAAGGAAACGAAGAGAACGGCTGGCGGTGAAGGCCCTCTGCTTCTGAGCCCCCAAAGCGGTCAGGTCATGGTGTTGCCCTCAGGGTTTAGGGTTTAGGGTTTAGGGTGTAGGGGTTTAGGGGTTTTGGGGTTTAGGGGTTTGGGGTTTAGGGTTCAGGGTTTCGGGCTTAGGGTTTAGGGTTCTCTTCTTGATTTCTTTTGGGAAGCCATGGCCTATCCTTACTCGCAGCCGAGTGAAACCCAACTCAGTCCCCGGTCATCAAACATCTCGAGACATGCACGAGTCAGCCTTTTTCCGTCGGGTTACTGCAGACTGCCGGGGAGCTGCCCAGAGAGACTCCGCAGCACTGGAACTGCACCTGCCTGCAACAACGAAGAAAAGTCCCCTAAACCCTAAACCCTAAACCCTAAACCCTAAACCCTAAACCCTAAAGCTATTGAGCTGATTCATTGCAGGCTTCCTGGAGTTCCACTCCTTGCCTGACATTGCGTTCCCTGTGCCCGCACTTGCCACGTCAACTTCACATTGAAACGTCTCGAGGCTTCGCACTGAGACGACCTCTTCCGACTCTGCGATGAGCAATGCACTCTGGATGCAGAAGGCGAAAATGTTTTGGCCTAAGCTTCCCAACACATCCCGGGACCTTCCCCGGCCTCGCGAACGGCCGGTGCCAGTTCCGGGAACTCCGCGACATTGGCTAAGGCTGAAGCAGCGCGCCAGGCCTGTCTTGACGAAGACTGAGCAAAGGGAAGCATGCACACCGTCAGCGAAATACCCGCGAAAGCTGAGGAGTCAGGCCATTCGAGGCTACACGCGCAGTGTCCATGCATCGACGACTTACGAAAGCAGCTTCGTGACTCAAGGGTCAGCAATCCTTCCTCAGCTGGGCCTCAGGAAAGTTCTGGCCACGCTTGGCAACGTCCAAGAGAAGAGCCACGCCTGAGCTTCACATTTTCTGGCAGCAGGGCGCCGGGGCATGTAACCTAACGAGCAAGCTTCCATCAAGGCTGGCAGCACAGCATAGAAAGCTAGAGAAAACCCTCGCACCATCTGTCTTTTGCCTTCTGGAAGCTCCGCCGCCGGTGGCGCAACGGTTGCACGAGACTTTTACAAAGACGCCGTGTCGTCGTCCTGCACACCGGCACTTCACACACAGAGCGAGTACATGCCTGGGGGGCTTCAGTGGCCCTACTCTGGCGCTGGAAGGTATTCTACAAACTTCCGGGCGGCTGCCCGATACTCTTCCCTAACCCAGGTACCTACTATATAGGGCCCCAGGGGCTCTAGTACCCTATATAGTAGGTAACTGGGGGGTTAGGGCTGGCTCAACGTCGAGGCCCCCTGCCAAAGCCAGGCCACCGCTCGGGCAAGTTGTAGAATTCCA